TTTACAGTCTACTTATGGAATATTTTCTCAAATTCCATATTTTCGAAAACTGCTTATTCATACGCATCATGCTAAGGAAAATTAACTCTATACATGTGAATAGGAGGAGTTGCTTTACTTGCCGAGAGATGCAAAAGAGGAGGATATCATAATCTCCAGAACTGCAGTTTTAGGCTTTGTAATAACAGGCTTGCTGTAAAACAATTTCAGCTGTTGATTTTCTGTTCAGTCATGCTTGTTGAGGCCTGCATATTCAAGTTAACACCACATTCATTAGAATTTAGAATGCAAGTGCAAAACGAAAACCGTGTGCTTTTAAGTTTTAGAGTAATAATCTTTATGGCTCCGGCTTTTCTTCAGATTGTTATATGAGCAGTAAACACGGGTATAGAAGTTTGAAATACACAGTGTATTTGTAGGTAGAGGCAGGGCAAAAAATAGAGCCATTATTTTGTCATTCTGTACACATCCTCTGAAGCCTTACTAGTCCTAGCTAAGCTTTGGGGAGCTAAATGTGTTTGCTTTTCTTCCATGCATTGCTGCAAATGAAGTTATGTTCAAAGTGTGCAGCATTGACATTTTTCTAGTCTTTTTCAACATTAATGTTATCCTTTGTTGTTTCAACAGAAATTAACCTCAAGTGGTTTAATTTCAATTTTATGATTACTAGTGACCTCTTAAATTTGTGCTTTTCTTTTGTTTTTTCTAAGAAAGGCAACAGTTAGTGAGCAAGAGCAAGATTCATGAACATACCCCAACTGATGTCACAAAATTGCAAACAGCACATTTCACCGATCGTGCTCCATACTGGTACATTAGTAGCATCCTACAATTCCCACAATTGACATGTGCCACCTGATTTGCTGTCACAATGTACATTTTGATGCTCAATCTGACTAATAAGTAAATACTGTTCTAGATTTAACAATACTTAGTGATATTATGAAAGCAATAACCAATAAGTGTAAGATAAATTTCAGATACAGATAGCAACGTAAGTGAATATTTACTGTGTACCTTCCAAGGCTAGATTGACAGTATGACAACAGGAACATTGAACGCTAGTGGCACCACGGATGTACATGAGCAAGGTATGGCAACCTCCGCAAACCAACTGTGCCATTTCTGTGCCTGTTCAGGTTTTTCAAACTTTTGCACTCAGGACTTGAAATGAAAATAGACATGTAACTTCCTAGTGTTTCAGGGTCATGGAAGCTAAAGGAAAGCTAGGTCATTTACCAGGAGGTGGTACTGCTGTTACTGCATTGCATACAGCACAGCAAACAGAGGTTGCTCCAACTGGATAGAGTAAAAGGTTTCGACATCCAGAACACACAAGTTGGCTCTGAGAACCTGATGACAAAGATTTGGACTACAGATGAGTAAAAATATGGGAATCCAGCAACTTGTTGCAAGGAAAATAGATACACAACATTGGCCCTGTCTTTAACCAACAATCCTAGAAGAACGAAGTAGATTTAGGAACTAATCTTGTTACTGTCTTGATTGTTTTGTCCATAAGCAGC